TAAAAGAGAGAATATGCAGCTCAAAACCACTATTTCTGACATTTTATCAAATAGTGTACTCATTTTCCCGGGAAACTTCAAACAAACAAACCTAAGAGTGAGAAGATGGAAAAAAGAAAAGAAAATTATAACGTTATCGTTGAGCCACATCTGATCGTGATCAAAAGAGGGGCTAACAGTGACAGTGGTGGTGGTGCAAAGGTAAGGATTAGGGACGACAGGGGAGAGAAAATCACTCGAGAGGCAGAAAGAGAGCAAAAGCAGCAACGAAATGAGAAGGAAGAAGCTGCACGAACAATCTAGAAGAGGAGAAGAGGAAAGGAAAAAAATCATATTAGCACACAAATGACCAAAAAATCCTACTCAGGAAAACAATGAGAAAGGGAAGGAAATGGGCAAAATGGACATTGCACACACTAGCATAATACTGAAAAGACACAAATAGCCCCGGCCCAAGAAGGGAAAAGGAGAAGAGAAAGAAGGGGCAAACTTGACATTTCACGCCGTAAGGGCAAGCCGGCAATTGTTAGTGAACAATATGAAGAGTGCACTATGAATGCGTGAACAGTGCAAAACTCCTCTCCTTTAGTATATTTATAACTAGTTGGGAACCTGCGCGTTGCCGCGGGAAATACTGTTGCATTATATAAAAAGTTAGGGTTTTTTATAGTACATGGTTAGTTTCAATATACATACATGGTCTATCTTCAGTTAGAACATCTAAACCATATCATACTGCCTCGATGAATTTTATCCAACAAAAATCTTAGTAGAAAATTAATTGCAATTAAAGGGACCGACCAGAAACAATGAAGTTCACGCAAACACGAAAATCATCAAATAGATTGGTTCAAGGCAACTCAAAAAAGAATAGTCATGTTTCTTCACCCAAATGTTTGGCAGCTATTTACTTTGTAAAATAAAAAATAAAAAATTAGCGTTTAGAACTTGTTCCAAAATGATTTTATTTTTTGTATGGAAATGGAAATAAAACGTTTTCAATCTCAGACAGAAATCATTTTTAAAAATGCCTTTGGTAGTTTTATAAAGAGATTATTTTCAGTATAAAAAAACTTATTAATGTCTCTCTTTCTCTCTCTCTGCTCGAGAGAGGAGAAAACAAAAATAAAAAATGAAAAATGACTAAACGTCGTTTTTCATTTCTCTCTCATTTTACACTAAATCAAAAAATCATTTTCATTTCTATTTTTTTATCTTTATTGCGCCAAACGTTGTTTTAAAATTTTTTTCATTTTTTCTTTCTCGAAAAACGTAAAAAAAAAACAAGATTAATTTTAAACATGGCCTATGTCTTTTCCTTTAGTGAATGCAAAAGTTTTAATCACATCCAATCAAGACATTTTACTCAATCTGTTAAGATAAGCATGTTGATAGCTAGATACACACAATTACGAAAAAAATTAACAATTAGCAATGAAGAAAGCTTTGACTGTAGAGATTGAATGTTATATTCTTAAATGTAACAACTTGGGAATACTTAGAAGGCATTGGCTCATTAGCAAGGAAAGTCACTTGCAATAAAAACACACCAGAGTCCAAACATCCCTAATATTAGCATCCATTATCAAATGCTTGAACACTATACGATCCAAGTAAATTTTTATAAAATTCCTTCTTTAAACAGAAGGGGAAATGTGTGTTTCAGAACTTGATTCTTAAAAGTGTAGCCTATTCTAAAGGCATGCTTTGAATTTTCACTAAATGAACTTGCAATAATGCAGTAGTAGATTAGTAATATAACTTGAATGCCGATTGTGATATTATAAAAATAGGTTTCCCCTATCATAGGAGATTAGTTAAAGAAAGAAAGCAGAGTTAAACTTGACCAGAAGTTATGCCGAGTTTAATAATTCCAGTAGTCCGAAGAGGATCACCTCCAAGAGAACCAAGGGCATAGTTTGCGACAACCTAAGCAGGTCAAAATATGCCAAATAAGGGTATGTATATATATCACAAAGATATAAATGAACAAAGAGTCAATATCTCATCAATATTTGCTAATGAAAAGGAGAAAAATAAGACACAGATTACTAACATTTTTTAGCAACAGAACAACAAAAAAGAATTTATGTAAGTACTGTATATTAGCGGCATCTATCAATAATATAACAAAGTTAAATATGAAAAAAAAAAAGCAATGAAATAGAAACGACACACATTAATGTCTTATTGTTGTAATCATTTTCCACGACATTGTTATGCTCCCTACTTTTCTATCAAACATTCAACCTAAAAAATATAATCTATGCAAAAATGTAGCCAAATAGCCAAAAACTTACTTTTCCACACACATTTTCAATCTTTTTGCTTCTCGATTCTTGCATGTGTTTCTGAGCTGAATCGCCATTTTATAGAGGATTATGAAAAAATCTTAATCAATTTTGCTCTCTTCTACCATAAATCTGCATGACACACAAAGCAAAATGCCATGTTAAGCCAAGAATAAGCTACAAAAAACTACAATAACCAAACCCCTTTAACTGTCCATTCTAAATCACATAAACTTCAACAGTTTTATTCAAAAAAAAAAAGAACCTGGACATTAGGCGCCAACAAATTCTCATGAACTGATTGAGAGAGGTTTAAGTACGTTAGATCATTTTTTGTCAACATCTACATATATAACACTCACAATTACCTCTCGTATATATATATATGTTGAAAGTAACATTTCGCCAGCTTAAATTTCAACTAGATGTGGTAAATCCCTAGCTAAGAAGGGCTTCCTCTTGAAACGACTAATTGCGCGACTAAGCCGAAAAGATCTAGAAAATTAGAAAGTTGGGATCTTCAAGCATGTTTGAATCCTATCCCTGCCTAAGCACTTGAGATGCATTAAAGATTGGTACTGGACAAGCTCTCGACTAGATCATCCTAGCGAACTGATTAAATGCGTCTTTGGCCTTTGAAGTAATCAGTGCTCTAACTGAGCGAGTCATAGATTATTGATGAGCGTAGCTTAAGGCGCGTTTGAAACTCGTTTTAAAATGATTTTATTTTTTGTATAAAAAAAAAATGAAAACGTTTTCAATCTCAGACATAAATCATTTTTAAAAATGCGTTTAGTAATTTTATTAAGAGATTGTTTTCAGTATAAAAAAACTCATTAATGTCTCTGTCTCTTTCTCTCTGCTCGAGAGAGGAGAAAACGAAAATAAAAGATGAAAAACGTCTAAAAGTCATTTTTTATTTTTCTCTCATTTTACACTAAATCAAAAAATCGTTTTCATTTATGTTTTTTTATCTTTATTGCGTCAAACGCCGTTTTGAAAATTTTTTTATTTTTTTTAAAAAGTGAAAAATAAAAACAAAATCAATTCCAAACACGGCCTTAGTTTAGTTGATCTCTCACCGAACTATAAATAAATATGTGGGTGTCTCTTTATAGAGACTTGGCCCAATGGCTACCACCAGAAGTGCACCAAGTTAGTCACAGTAAAACATCCAAATTCTTTCTTACTTCAGACTTTATAAACTTGGATGGCTTGCTTACTTGTTTAACTTGCCCCCTCTTTAAATGTATACACTTCGAGCAAGCAAATGACTAGCAGATCGAGGAACCACAATGAATGAGACGACATAAGTGCCCCAATAATTTTTCTTTTAAAAAGACAATGGATTAGAGATAATTTTGATTTTTATTATCGTGTCTTAAAGCATTATAAAAGGAAAGAAAAACTATCAAACAATATTATTCTTTAAAATATTACATATAAAATTAAGAAAATATATAAATATTACGGTAAAAATTGTGTCTAAAGACTCTAAGAAGTTATTTAATTGGGGGATTCATACCCTGATTTAAATTATGATTCGTAATTTATTACAGTATTTTTTCTTATAAAAAATATATGTGAATAAAAAATAATTTTAATCTCATAATTTTAATTTAAAAAAAAAAAAACAAAATAAGACATTGAGAAGAGAAGTGATAAAGTGCACCCTATGTCACAGAGAGTACAGGGTAAGTTTTTAAACAATAAAGTGAAAAGAAAAGAAAAAGAAAAAAGAAAAAAGAAAAATTGAAGGGTGATTAGGTAATTTCACGAAACGTTACTGCAGTTCATCCACTCCAAGTGGTTTCTGATTTTGACAATGTCACAAATGACCACACCTAAACCAAAACAAAACAAGGCCACACCTCTCTCTCTCTATTTTTTTTTTATTATTATTAAATTCGATTAAAGCTTCTGTCCTTAGTCCCTCTCTCTCTATCTGACTTTCTCTCTCTACCTCCTATTCTCATTTTCTCGTGAAATTTTCATAAATGTTCTCGTGAGATCAACCGATTCAATTTACAACTAGTAAAAAATATTTTCAGCAAAGGAAAAAAAAAACTAGTAAAAATATACTTGCCAAAACCATGTACAAATATTAGAGTTCAAATCTTTGTTCTAAAATGACAATAAACACTAATAAGATATTTTTTAACCCATCGTGCAATGCTAGTATGCTACATAATTATTATTATTTTTTTTAAAGATAGTCATCTTACATAATAATAAAGAGATGTTTGGCTGAAGGATTCAAACCATGATTTGAATCATAGTTCATGGTTCGCTACAGTATTTTTTCTTATAAAAAATACACATAAATCAAAAATAATTATAATCATATGATTTTAATCCATGAAATAAACGTGTCTTAAGTTTCCTAAAAAGTTTAGCAAAAAAAAAAAAAAAGGTTAACGGAAATAACTACCGGTTAAAGGCTGAGCCGGTTTCCTCGGTCAACTCACTCTTGCCGGAATTCCGCTTCCACCGACTGCCCTCCCTAACAACTTTACCTTTTTTTTTTTTTTTTGCTTTTAAAATAAAGAATAAAAATTTGTCGGAATTATTTTATTTTGGCTAATAAAGCTTTCTATGATTGTGCAAATTGGCTTGTAGAGTTGAATGGGAATTGGATTCAAAAGTATAATAAAAAGCAAGGTATGAAAGAGGGAAAAAAAAAAAAGAAAAATAAATAAATAAAAGAAGAGAGAGAGAGAGAATCTGGTGGGCTTTGAGCTGTGATTTAGCTGTCTTTTTGACGTATAATTTTTCTCTCACACACTCACACATCTCCAAAGTCCCTAGAAAAAACCCCTCCCTCTTCTCCACTCTCCACACACCATTTTCTCTCTCCTCCAAGAAACTCTCTCTCTCTCACACTTTCTCTCTGCATTTCTTTTTTGCAAATTCCTTTCCTCAGATCTTAAACGTGGAAGAGCCACATTTCTGCTAGAGACCCATTTGGGGATATCAGAAGAATAAGGAAGGGTATTCAATCCAAGAGGGAAAAAGACGAAAGGCAAAAAAGTGGCATTCAGAGCATCAGATGTCTCATGTGAGATGAAGAAGAAGACCCACTCAAACCCTTCTTCTTGTTTTCTCTTCAATCTCTCACCCCTCATTGGTTCCTTCTTTTTCTTGCAATTACTCTTCTTTATCACGTCCTCCTCCGTCGCCGCAGACCACTCCGCCACTAATTTCATCGGCCATGGCCGACTCTCCAACGATGAGAAGCTCTACATCAAGCAGCGTCAGCTGCTTTACTACAGAGACGAGTTCGGCGACAGAGGAGAGAACGTCACCGTCGATCCTTCCCTGACCTTCGAGAACGACCGGATCAGAAGCGCCTACATCGCTCTACAAGCATGGAAGAACGCCATTCTCTCCGATCCCAACAATCTCACCACTGACTGGGTCGGATCCAATGTCTGCAAGTACACCGGAGTTTTCTGCGCTCCGGCGCTCGATAATCCCAAGATCCGTACCGTTGCCGGCATCGACCTCAACCACGGCGACATCGCCGGATACCTCCCGGAGGAGCTCGGTCTTCTGGTGGATCTCGCATTGTTCCACATTAATTCGAATCGGTTCTGCGGTACTGTCCCTCACAAGTTCAAGGAACTGAAGCTTCTCTTCGAGCTGGATCTGAGCAACAACCGGTTCGCCGGAAAGTTTCCCGAGGTCGTTCTTAAGCTTCCGAGCTTGAAATTCTTGGATCTGAGGTTCAATGAGTTCGAAGGGACGGTCCCGAAGGAGCTTTTCGACAAGCCGTTGGACGCGATTTTCATCAACCATAACAGGTTCGTGTTTGACCTTCCTGATAACTTTGGGAATTCTCCGGTTTCGGTGATCGTCCTGGCGAATAACAAGTTCCATGGTTGTGTCCCGTCGAGCTTGGGCAACATGACGAACCTCAACGAGATTATCATGATGAACAATGGGTTCAAGTCCTGTCTCCCGCCGGAGATTGGGTCGTTGAAGAATTTGACGGTGTTCGATGTGAGCTTCAACCAGTTGTTGGGGCCGATTCCGGAGAGCTTCGGAGGGCTAGTGAACATTGAGCAGCTCAATGTGGCGCACAATATGTTGTCGGGGAAGATTCCGGCGAGTATCTGCTCGTTGCCGAATCTGCAGAACTTCACGTTCTCGTACAACTTCTTTACCGGAGAGCCGCCGGCGTGTCTGGGATTGGAAGGATTCGATGACAGGAGGAACTGCCTACCCAAGCGGCCGGCACAGCGCTCCGCCGGGCAGTGCAAGGCGTTCTTGTCTCGCCCCGTGGATTGCGGTTCCTTCAAATGTAAACGCTTTGTTCCTTCTCTGCCTTCTCCTCCTCCGCCTTCGCCTCCGCCACCAGTTGTCATTCCATTGTCACCACCACCACCGGTCTACTCTCCTCCGCCGCCACCTCCGCCTCCTCCACCAGTTCTCTCTCCTCCGCCTTCTCCTCCACCACCAGTTCTCTCTCCTCCGCCACCTCCGCCTTCTCCTCCACCACCAGTTTACTCACCTCCACCGCCACCGCCAGTTTACTCTCCACCACCACCACCACCATCTCCACCCCCGCCATCTCCGCCACCTCCATCTCCACCACCACCAGTTTACTCCCAGCCACCGCCATCTCCGCCACCGCCCTCTCCACCACCACCATCTCCTCCGCCGCCAGTGTACTCCCCACCTCCACCGCCACCATCACCAACTCCAACACCTCCCTACTGCGTCCGCTCTCCTCCACCTCCGCCACCAAATTCCCCACCGCCACCGCCTCCTTTGAGCTCTCCTCCACCTCCATCTCCTTACTACTACAGCTCACCACCACCGCCACCTCACTACTCACCGCCACCGCCCCCACATTCCCCTCCGCCGCCAATTTACCCATACTATTCACCACCACCTCCGTCGCCAGTACATCACTCGCCACCACCTCCTGTCCACTCCCCACCGCCACCATCACCACCTCCTTGTATAGAACCACCACCGCCTCCTTCGCCTCCGCCATGTGTAGAGTACTCACCACCACCACCCTCTCCGTCGCCACCACCTCCTACAGTTTACTTGCCACCGCCATCACCATCGCCTCCACCTCCTCCAGTGTACCACTCTCCACCACCACCACCATCACCTCCGCCACCGCCACCGGTTCACTACAGTTCTCCGCCACCACCGGTCCACTATAGCTCCCCACCACCACCAGTTCATTACAATTCTCCGCCACCACCATCGCAATCTCCGCCGCCGCCACCGCTTCCTTGTGAGACCCCACCATCAGCATCACCACCACCTCCACCGATTGTTTATGAGAGCCCGCCACCTCCGGCTCCGGTGTATGAGGGGCCATTGCCACCAATCTACGGAGTATCATACGCGTCTCCTCCGCCACCACCTTTCTATTGATTCTTTTGAGAATTTTCATCCTCTAACCTTTGCTCTAAAGCACCCAACATGATTTATCCAAAAAGAAAAAAAAAAAAAAAAGTTGTTTAGGGACCAAAAGTTCTATAATTTTTTTTTTCTTTTACTACCTCTTCATGTGCTTCACCATTATCATTAAGTCCTCTTTGTCTTTTGGCAATTCTCGTCGCCTCACCGGAGGAGGAAGAAGAATAAAGTGGGTTTTCTGTTCCTGTGGATTATCAACAACAATACTGGTAATCATCATTTGTCTCTATGAGGATGTCTTATTCATTTGTAAAACAAGAGAAGAGGTGGGAAAAAAAAAAAAGAAAAAAGAGAGAGGTAAGAGGAGAAAGGTCTCTCCCATATTTATTTGAATTGTTATGGATATTTGAGTTGTGAAAAATAAAAATGGCAGAGAAAAAAAGAGTTTTTAGGTTGCAGAGAATGTGTATGTATAGGCATCATGAATTTGGAGACCATAATATTCAGGGGCTACAAGGGATAGCAGCATTATCTTCATCATCCTCAATCTTCATCACCTTCTGCTGCTGCTGTTACTTGTTTTGTGGGTTTTTTATTTTTATTTTTATTGTCATTATCTCTTCTATATCATACTTTTGTTTCTTCTTTTGATTTCCCAATTTATAGTATAATCATGAACCATTTTTACTTGTATTGATTCCACATTTTTACTTGTCACTCTTTTTTGTGAATACATTTATGTTTGTGAATGTGAACATAGGGGATTAGATCCTTGAGCTCTTCATTTGGGTTCTTGAAATCTAATCATGAGCTTTCAAACTCTTGTTAGTTCACGTGTGACTTAGACTTAATTAAAACTCTTTTTTTGTTAATTTCAACATTAGGGACTTTTTTTGTTCAAGTTGAGGGTTCTCTGGAAGTGGATTTAGATCGATTCTCTTTATTAGGAATCCATGTGCATTGATAGTTGTAGTTCTTGAGCTGAGCAAAACCCCTGATTCCTTGCACATTCGCCTACAATTTTTCTGAGTTAGGATGGCTTAAGAAAAAAGAAAGAGAAATAAAAACTACTTGTGGCCAATGCTTAATTGGTAAACGAAGAGAGGATGATGATTAATGATGCCTTTTTCTTTGTGTTGATTTTGTCAAGAGGGATTAGTCATTTTCTTCAAAGGGTCCTATAATTTCGGTTGAGGATGCACGTTCCAATTGGGAATTTTGTCCTTGACATATGGCAAGCTATTGTCAATCTTTGACCCCCAATTGGGGTTTTTTTTTTTTTTTTTTGTCCCTGAAAATCAACCCCACCTGAGTCTTGATGGGTGCTATTTTCAATTTCTGATCTATAAGAATTCTTTATTAGATTAATGTAATTTAGGGGTTGACACCATGTGCACATCTATCCTATCTCATAATGTTGGGTTTGAAATTTTGAAATTCAATTTTAGGGACCTGTTTTTGTTTACTTCTTCACGCTCACATTTCCACCATTGGAATTTGGTGTGTAATGTGATCTCTTTTACTCACTTTTGCCCGTGAAAAAGCTCAAAAAGAGTTAACACAGATAGAGCTCACTTTTGTTTTGTGACTCATATTTCATTTCTTTTATTATTCCCATACGCGGTTGTTATTATCATGACACAAACATTTCTTCTTGACCGTAGTCATTATCCTTTCCCCTTTTTGTCATTGAAAAGAGTTTTCCGATAACACTCTTTTTTCTGATTTCCGCAATTAGCGATCCTTCTTCTCTCATATTTCGCCTTCAATGTGTTTTCTTAGGCCCCGTTCATTTCATCGATTCGAGTTTAAAATTTAAGTTCATTTCATCGATTCGAGTTTAAAATTTAAGTTCATTTCATCGATTCGAGTTTAAAATTTAAGTTTTATTACAGTAAAAAATTTTCAGAAACAGTCACATTTAACTTTTTTATACAGTAAAAAGTTCTCATAAAAATTATATCTTAACTTGAATTAAAAATTCAAATCAGCGAACTAAACGAATCTTAATTCCCTCAGCCTCCACAACGTGCTTGAAATTTGAAGCGCAACTTTGAGTGATATTGTGGTTTTCTGATTAATCACTTTTGAAAGGTCCTTTCGGTGGGGGCAGGGGACAAATATCAGAAAACAGGTTTGATCACAACCAACGAGAGATCTAGCTAAATAATCCGACGTTAAAACTTTGCCATCTAACTTTAAAGGATAAATTTTATATTGTGGAAAAAATATCCCACCGAAAACGGTCACATGTTTATCAAATTTCATTAGATTATCAATGTTTTTATTATGATTACGATGTGACTTACCGGTTTAAAATTATTATGTTGTGTTCAAATAAATAATCCGACAGTTAAAACTTCGCCATCCAACTTTAAAGGATAAATTTTTATCTCGTTTATTTCAGCGATTTGAGTTTAAAATTCAAATTTTACTATAGTAAAAAACTCTTAAAAACAGTCACATTTAATTTTTTTACTGCAATAAAAAACTCTTACATAAAATTACATCTCAACTCATATTAGCAATATGAAAAAATATCCAACCGAAAACGGTCACATGTTTATCAAATTTCATTAGATTATCAATATTTTTATTATGATCACGATGTGACTTTTAACGGTTTAAAATTATGTTGTGTTCAAATAATTATTTCATACTCTGTCTTAATTACACTCGCCGTTGTCGCCAATAATAAGCTTGCGATGCCAAACCGCTTTCTTCCCAACCAGCACCGACGGCTCTTTCATTGCCCAAGTCAAGTGAGGCTCATAACTCTTTACGTTTCAAAGCACCCCCGTCGGTTCACATGGAATTCTTGTGAACCTACGTTTGCCTCTGTGAAAATGACTACCCAAACACGTACTATGGTGTTTTTATTTTTTATTTTTATTTTTATTTTTATTTTTTTTCTCCTTCAAATGTCCTTTTCTGGCAGGGAATTGGTTTCTAAATCCGAATGCAGAGAAAAAAAAAAAGAAAAAAAAAAAGAACCATTTTCTTGGGAGGAATTTTATACCCAATTTGCTCTCAGAATCTTCTTTCTTCCACACAGCATAAAAACATTTGGCAAAATCCACTACATCATAAGAAAAAAAATTCAGATTCAAGCCAAAAGATAAAACAATATCATTAAATCTAAATTGAGTTAAAAATTGTTGGAACCCCACCTTCCCTTTTGTTTTCATTTAGTTTTCACTCAATTTATTCCGTCCTAATTATATGGCATTCCACATTTCTAATTATGTGGTAAAATATGAAAATTGAGAAGAGTATCCCAAAAAAAGAAATGAAAAGAGTACGTTGAATTATGCATAACAAATTTAGTGAAATCATATTTTTTTTTGTGAAATTTTATTTTTATGTAATGTATCATTAACATGATTTAATCTTCAAAACTAACTTTTAGCTTAGTTATTAGAGAGATTTTCTGGTACACTTGACATATTGATAGGTTAGGTTTTTCTAACTGTTAAATTTGCATATTTTTTTAACTTTCACGTAATTTTATGCAAATCTAATAAACAAAAAATTTGACCTATTAATATGTTGTGGTACCGAATAAGGTCCTTTAACTGTTTTGTTTCTTATAATGATCTGTTTGTTATACCAATATATGTTTTCAAAATCTAAAATTTGCATCGTTTATTTCGTTGTCATCATTATTATTATTATTTTCTTAACAATAACTTCTAGAGAAAAAAATATTGGAATACAATGTACCATCATAAATTATAATTTTCTTCTTTTGCAGTGACTGCAATTTGGCTTCTATTTTTTCCGTCAATTTCAGCCTTAAATTATGCGGTTGAAGTTAATATTTGGCCACCCAATTCCACAGGAGACTTTTTTATTAAAGGGGGAAAAATAAAACTGAGACTCATGCGGCTTCCTATTGTCGTTTTTTTATCTTAGGCTTCGTTCATTTCTCTGATTTGAGTTTTTAGTTTTAAATTTTTACAGTAAAATTTTTTTAAAAAATATCACATCTAATTTTTTTTATTACAATTAAAAACTCTCAGATAATATCACATCTTAACTTAAATTAAAAATTCAAATTTATAAAGTGAACAAGACTTTAGTGTAAAAAAAAAAAAAAAAAATGCAAAGCTATCCCACCAAAAGAATTGATGTTAATGGGAGTGGGCCCTACTTAGATGACACTCCACATGGGCTTGTTAATGCTTTTCACGTCATTTATGAGTAATCATAATTTTAATGTAACAAGTTGGTTGACTTGTTTTCATTTTACCTCAAATGTTAGACAACCATCATTTAATTAGGCCTCTATGCACAGGCTGTGATTAGGTCAAATATATTAATGCCAATTGTTTTGCAAAAGTGATGCAAAAATGATATTGAACCCATCACCACACGAGAAAAAATAAATTATTATTATTATTATAATGAAACTTTGATTAAATGCCTTAAACTAATTGAGGAGTCTAACATTAGGGTTTTAGAAACCCCTCTTTCGCTATCTTCTCTTCTTTTTTTTTTTTTTTTTTTTTTTTTTCTTTTAAGAATTTCTTTAGTCTATTTATAGATTCAATTGGATTTATAGGATTTTTGAGTTTCCACCTAAATTTATTTCAACATGAGAAAATTAGTAAATTTGTCTTTTAAAATGCACGGATCTAAATTTGTACGCTTTATTAATAATTAATACTTTTTTAATTAATAAAATATTAATTAAAAATAAAAAATAAAAATTAAGACTAGTGTAATTTAAAAGACATTTGTTTCTTTTTGCTTTTCACGTTACCATTTTTTGTCTGAAACGATTAACATCATCATTTGGGTCTCAGGCATTTACAATATGCCTAAAATAACGTACCCACCAAGCACGTGATGCACACCTATTTAACTTTGATTTCTCATATTTTGCAGTTTTTGAAAAAACAAAAAAGCTCAGGTCAATTTGAAATATTTTAGGGTCAAATTGAGATGAATAGAAGGTTAAAAAGAAAAAAAAAAAAATAATAATAATAATAATAATAAAAGTTATTTATAATAGACTTTTTTTATAAAAAAAATTCCTTTTCCAATCCAAGATACATAACTTGAAGGAAACAAACTATTAAAAATTTTGTATATATACCTTTTGTATTTTATTTTTTCTTAGTTGACAAACTAATCAAGACGGCCGGCAATTCTAACAAATTCACGTGCAATTACGTAATCAAAGGCATATTTTCAGAACCCACTAAAAATGCATCTCTCGTTACTAATATTTCCCCCCACCCCCCTCAAATTACTTGCTACTTTGGCATTACCAATCAACTATTACTCATCAAAACCAACATTTAACAAACTAAGGTCCCGTTCACTTCGCTGATTCGAGTTTATAATTTGAGTTGAGATGTGATTTTATGTGAGAACTTTTTACTATAGTAAAAAAATTAGATGTGATTGTTTGTGAGAGCTTTTTACTGTAGAAAAACTCGAATTCTAAACTCGAATCAACAAAGTGAACGGGGATCTATGTTGCAGGTCAGATCTTGAACAAGTGTTCTTTTTTTTGGGGTCAATAAATTAAATATGTTCATGACTCATTCACACTCCTAAATCATGCCCACGTTTACCAAAATTGCATGTCTCTCGTCCAAATATAATAGGAAAACAAAGTGCTATAAAATAAAAGGGCAACTTTGTTTTTCAAAATTGGCTTTGCTTTCTCTACAAATGGAGCATTCTCTTACTTCTCTCTCTCTTTT